TGTGCATGCACAGCCCTCCCTTTCCCGCACCAGAGCCTGTCCTGCTCCATCTGCAAGTCTCTCTCCTCCATCTGATCCCCTTTCCCCGCTGCCCAACAACTGCGGCCAACCCAGGCTCCAGATGTGCAGCATACCCCTTCCAGATGTGGATGCCAACTCCTCCACCCTGCTGAGCCAGAACCTTCATGGGTCAGTTTGGGGCTGGTCCTGGTGGCATGGACAACTGGAGATGCCAAAAAGGGTTTGTTTCATCCAGCCCCAGCCTTGTCCCCCCCCAGATGCCCCTCTGCCAGCCCTGGGGCTGCGTGCAGAGATGACCAGGAGCCACGTTTGGGCTGTGCCCTGTGAGTCACCCCACAGCCACCAGCCCCAGCTGATGCAGCACCCCGGGGCGACACAACGGTGGAGACACAGGGCAGCCCCCTGCCTGCTTGGGGCCAGATCCTGGGGGCTGCGCTGGGTCTGGAGGGGCTTTGACCCCCTCTTGCCCTGCTGGGACCAGGGTGAGCTAGAGGGTCACAGAGCATCTCCCAGGGTGGGGAGGGAGCAAAAACCTGGGCACTCCCCAGTCCCTGCCCAAGGCTGGACCAGCCCCCAGCCACTCACTGAGCCCCCCTCCATCCCGTGCTGCCCACAGCCAAGATGAGGAAGTGAATTTCTAGGAGTGTATCACCTCCCTGGGGGCCCTGGCCATGATCTACAGTGATGCCCTAAGGAATGTAAAATACAAAGCTCGGGGGGCCAGGGGGGCATTTTGGGGTCCTTTTGTGAGAACGTCTTGTAAAGTTTTTGTGATTTCCTATTATAAAGTTTTATTGCTGTGTTCCTGGTCATTTTTGAACCTTAAATAAATTAAAACCTCATGAATGGCACTGTTTTTTCTCTTGCTGGAGGTGGGTGGGTGGGATTTAGCAAGCGGCTGCACTGGGGGCTCATGTTCCCCCTTAGACTGATCCTGCTGGGTGCTGGCAGTGCTCTGCCCGTCCTTCTGCCCAGGACTCCCACCCAGGCACTGCACCCTCGGCTTTGCAAGGGCTGGTTTGCCAGGAGACTGGGGTTGAAGCTCATCCCAAATGGAGGGCACAGGGTTTGTTCCACAAACCACAACTTCTGAGATCCGGCGCGCACTCGTTCATCCCTCCAGGCTCAGTGGAAGAGCAGAGAATATGGTCGCACCGCATTTGCATCCCAGAGGCAGGTGGAAGGGACCCCCCTGCAAGCCCTTGGCCACTTTTCTGTCTGATTTTTGAATCTTTGAAGCTGGCATGATACTGTTCACAGGCACTGTAGCCTGCCTGCACACCCACACCCCTGTCACCGCCCTGCGGCCATGCCCTCGGGGCTGTACTGGCTTTGTCCCCATAGCACCAACACTCCCAGCCCCACGGCTGCACTCAGCCATGGAGCAGATACCAACAGCCCGCGGTGGCTCTTGCACCAGAGCTACCAGGGCATGGCATGCCTCAAGGCAAGGCATGTGCCAGGAGCTCCGGGTGTGTGGGCACGTGGCTTCCGTGGCAGGTTGGGCAGCAAATGGCAGCATGAGAACTCACGGTGCATGCCTGGCCCTTCTTGCCTGCCCCATGGTGCACGCACCTCTCATCCCACCTCCTCATGGGGCACAGGCACACCCCTTCACACCTCCCCACGCGTGACGCACCACGTCTCGACAATGGTGCACCTGTGTCCTGCTGATCAGCCCTACGTGGCTCCCCATTCTGGGGAGGACGCGCCCACCTTCCTCCATCACACAACCAGTCCCTTTGTTTCACTCTTTTGCAATTTAGGCTTTTTTGCTGGCACCAGTTCCTCATGCTCCTGGTTTAGGAGGTTGACAGGGAGGTGTTTCACCACCACTGTCCTTCCCATCTCCTAAAAGCTTTAATGGCTAGGACCGGCTTTTTGCTGTGCCAGCCTCACCAAGCAAAGACTTGCGGTGAAGGGCTTGGGCACACGCTCGTCATCAGTCCACACAGACTGCCTTTACCCTAAGACACACAGAGTTTAGAGCCCATGCCAGGCACTGGGAACACCATGGGGTCTCCCACAAGTGGCAGCAGCCGTCCAGCACCAGCAAATAGGCAGCGACTGCCAATGCCCTCAGTTGTCATCAGGCAGCAATTACAGTTGCCGGGAAATGTCACCTCGTAAGACTGACTGTCAGGTTTCTGGCACGCTGACGTGCCCAGATTTGTAACACCTTTCTTGGCTCCCTGGATAGCTGTTAGGAAATGATTCCGGAAGAATGCTGCTCATGATTTTGGAGAGGTGGGATGCATTGGCCATCCCGCAGTAGCTTGCTGGGGGCAGACACCACACCTCCAGCCAAATTCAACAGCATCAGGGCAGATACGGGAGTGATGAACCACATATTCCATTGGGAAAAATCCAGCACCAACCCTCTGGAGACCCTCACCCAGCACCTTTGGTACGATCTGGAAAAATTACTTTTCCATCATCTCCGCAGAGACCCCCAACTCTGCAGGAACCTCCTGGCTCCTGGAAAGCCCCTGCACCATCACTGACTCATGATGCTGTCTCACCAAAGATGTCTCTTTTGGTGTTACCTTGTTTTGCCCTAACGAGTTTGGTGCGTCCCCCTCCCTCGTTAACAGTGGGAGCAGCCAGTTCCTGGAGCCAGGCAAGAAATTGCCACCTGGGCGTGCTGCGTAGCCTTGCACAATTCCTAGGGTTATCGCCCCAAAGGAAATTTGAGGGTGTCACAAATCATAGCTCAGGGAGAGTATAAAAGAGACCTCGCTCCACCGCTCTCTCACTGCTCCTGCCCGCTCCTCTCCTCCCGTGCACCGCCGACCACAGAAGTCAGCCCCAGCACTGCTCTCAGGTAAGTGCCAAACGCTGGCTTCCGGCTTCCTGCTGTTGGAAGTGCCACTGGGATGAGCCCGACCTCACCGGGCAGCCGAAGCCTGGCTGGGGCTCCCGGAGGAGAGGGCAGTCCTTCTCCTCCGACGGGGTTTAATGTTTTGCTGCCTGTCCCTTTCTAGCAAGATGAAAACCGACCTGGAGCTCGCTTTGGAGTGCATCATCAACATCTACCACCAGTACGCCATGAAGTGCCCCATAGATGACTACCTGAACGAGACCGAGTTCTCGATGTTGCTGAAGGAGAACGCCAAGCCCTTCCTCCACAACACCATGCCGGTAAGAGCTGAGCATGGCCCAGCTCTCCCAGCGCTGGCAAGAGCTTGAGGGAATGGTGGCTTCCTTAGGGCATGGGGGTGGCTGAGAGCCTCCCAGAGGGGAGGGAGGGGTTTTCCTGAAAATTTAAAATCCTCACTGGTTGTTTTCCCTGAAACATGCATAATCCTCGTGCTGTGGCTGTGGGCTGGCAGGGTGACACTGCTGTGCTTCAGCCTGACTCTTCTTTATGTTCACGCAGCGTAACATGTTCATCGATACCTACATACACAAGCTCTTCATCAGAGCAGACCGCAACGGCAGCGGCCGCCTCAAGTTCATCGAGTTCCTGACCACGCTGATTGAAATAGTCATTGATGCCCACAATAGGTCCCACCAGTGTCACAGGAGCGACGAAGAGTGTCCAGATGCTGGTCATGGCCAGGACCACATTCATGACCATGGTCACGCTCTCCAGAAGTGAAGCAGTTCGCAGGGTGACTGTGCCCACTGGATTGTGCTCTTCCAGCATCATCCCGTCCATTTGTCTGCAAGAACAGACAAACTGTAACCGAAGCTTTGTCATTTGCATCTGCCTATGGCCTTGAAATAAAATTTCTTTCTTCAAGCACCGAATGCATCTGTATCACGTGTCCTATTGTCTCTAGGGGGGAGCAATATCCACCCAGCCCATGGCTGTGGGGCGTTAAATGCAGCTTGAACTGGAGAAGTGATAGGAAAGGAAGGTGGCATGGAGGGAACCCGCTCCCTGCAGAGCAGAGATCCAGAGATCCAGGCTGTATGGTCTCCCCGTCCTGAAGCATGCCAGACCCCATCATGCTCCCATTGCCTTCCCAAGGCTCAGTGGGTTCCCTGCACAGGATGATTTGGCCCCAGCACACTTTGCCTCAGCAGACAGTGGGGTACAGAGCACCCCATCACAATGGGGGTGTCCCTGGGTAGGGGCAGCCAGCGACCACACGAAGAACATCCTCAGCCCTGGTTCTCCCAGCCTCTCTTTGCACCAGCTCCAGAACATGCCAAGGGTGAAGCAGATCTGGGACCTGCTTCCTCAGGGGGCTGCTGGGAACCAGCTCTGAAACTGGGGGTGCAGCATGCTGGGGGTGTGTGCAATGTTTTTGCAGCCCGTAAAGCGACTGGTGCTTATCTTGAAAGCCTTGACAGAGCAAAGAACGAGGCCGAGGGGCTTGGGGGAGCTGGTCTTAAGTCTGCACAATGAAGTTGCACATTTTTGTTAGCGTAGGGCACCAGCCCCCTGGGTCACAGCATGTTTATAAGCCACTGTGGGTTATGGGGCAGCAGATATATGAGTGGAAAAGAGCTGCTGAATCTGCCAGTGACTGTTCACTGAGTGGGAAACCCTCAGGCTCGGGAGGCTCCGACATCAGTTGAAACCAGAAGCCTGTCCCATGTGAAACCGAGCCATGAAAGGAAGCACGGGGCTAGTGTGTGGTTATTTGCACTCAGTGACACAGGTGATCGCTCTCTGGTTCCACAGCTTTTCCACTGGGGAGCAGCCCTTGTCCCCCAAAGGCAGACATCCTGCCAGGGCACCTGGGTATCCTTTCGGCATCACTCCCCGTGTGGGGCTAGGCAACATGAGTTGCATCTCCCTTGCAGGTTTTGGGGAACACAGCTGGAAAAAATGGGAATTCAGAGCCCACAGGTCTGTCCGCATGGGGTCTATGCAAGTGCACAGGGCAAAACCCAGCCTCGGCCGATGCTCTGAAAGGCCAGCTGGGGAATGAGGATGTAATTTCGGATTGCTGGCAGCCCCTAATGAGTAGAGCAGGAAAACAAAAAGAGCAGTAACGTGAGTCAGTGATACCAGAATAAAACTCACGCAACAGTTCTTGGTACAGCTCTTGGGACACACAAGAAGCATCCTCAAACAGGAATGGTTACCCTTTTGTTTTTTCTGTTCCTACCCTGTTCCTGGAATCTACGGACTTCTTGCATCTTTTTGCACTCTCTTCATTCTTCTTGTACCTGTTCTGCTAATGAAAGATGGGTGGCACAGAGGTGACTGTTGCAAAACACTTGTTAATTAAATGCTCCATCCACTAAAGACCCTGACATCAGATTTTCTTCTGGTTTTATGTCCAGTTTCCTCCACAAAGTTTCTGGAGCAAGAGGAAAGGTCTGGTACAAGTGATGCAAAAATAGAAAGTAATGGAAAATACTCTGGGAAACAATTAAAAGGTAGATGCTGTCTTCATCTTTGTTAGTGGTCAACCAGCTAGCATTGTAAAAACACTATATACAGATCATATTAAAAGCAACCAAGGGACAAAGTTATCCACGTCTGAAACAGCCCATCTTTCTTCTACACCAACATCAGAGCGCACAAAATTTTCAGCACATTGCAAAACTTCGGCAAGTTCTGCTGAGATGGACTTGACCTTTACGCTCGTGTTCAGCACTACACCCAGTGTTTTTCCCATTCTTTCCCTGGCCCATGAGCAGATCAGCCCTGTTAGGGGCAGTGGTGGGGTGGAGGGACAGCATTTTCTGAGCCCGGTGGGTGCAACCAGGAACTACGTGCAGAGGTATGAGACGGGGAGCGGTTC